GCAAAATCAGAATCTTGATAATACAGACTATGAGCAACCTTATCACTCTGTGCTCGTTTCATTGCTGTTTCTGACTGTTCACTTTTCTTCTCTTTTTCTTGTTTTTCAATATCGGCTTTCGTACGATTTCCAGCTAAAAAGCCTTTAGCCAATGGGGACCATGGGATTAATCCGACGGCTATTTAATACAGATCGAATTTCGGTGGATAAAGAAACAAAATTGCGAGTGTCAAGAGAACAATCTATACCTAAATCGTTGCATAATGGATTCATTTCACGTTCTTCTTCTCGGTAGATTAAACTGTAATGGTTTTGCCTAAAATATGAACCTTAACTGAATGTGTAGTTTCTCATGTACCCATGCCCCTACTAGCACACATCTATAGATTCTCGTCTCTTGATATAAAGTTACACCGTAAGCAACCGTACGACTTGTCCTGCTAATGGTATCCTTTTTTCGCAGTAAAGCTACAAACGAATCTAAAATTGCAACTACATAATTAAGTACATTAAACATTTCTCTACAAAATGAAAAGTGTCTTAGCTCTGAATGGTGATTAGTTATGAAAATACAGCTGTCGTACTAACAGCCCCCAAAATCGATTTTGGAGCTATGTGAAAAACGTGTCTAAAAGACTGAAGACGAGCAGGCGAAGATTCAACAAGTATACCAGTTTGTAGAAAATTGTTTGCTCTACAAGATGTGATAGCTTGTTAAGTTTGGAACTATTCTAATTAATCTGTATATTCTAATTACTGTATATTCAGAGCCAAAACACTTTTCATTTTGTAGAGAAATATTTAATGTACTTAATTACGTAGCTGCAATTTTAGATTCGTTTGTAGCTTTACTGCAATAATCTTTTGAAAAAGAGCGAAAAAAGGATACCGTTAGCTGGACAAGCCGCGTACTATTATCTATTAAAAAATATAATACAGAAAACTCTCTTCAGAATAATGTTTGATACATAAACAATAAAGATACGCGGTTTTCGCCCGTTTATAGACGACACTGGAGGGAATCTATTGTTAAACGAACAGGTCCAAAATCCAGTCTGCAAGTTGTGTACCTGGTGGATCTTCTGAGGCAACGCTGGCGTTTGCTGGATTTCCATAGCAACCTATAGTTTCAAAATATGCAGAACATCCCCGATATCTATGCCCTACATCCACGCAAGTCCGAGATCTCATCTACCACCAAACCTATACTATGTTAAATAATGTATTTTTCACGATTTTCACTGAAAATTAAAAAATTCATAATTCACTCGAAATTGCTCCAGACTACTTCAGTATATTATGATATACTCTATTTTGTGTGCACGATATCTTGAGGTTCACTAGAAGTTTTAAAAATCAAAAGGAAATACTTTGATTTTTGAAAGGTTTTCTAGAAATCTTTCCAAGTAAAGGAATGTTTTTTACCAGTCTTAAGTACAAACCAAGTGCAGAAGATATAACAGAGTATATTTTGATATTTTGAGGTAGTCTGGATCGATTTTGAGTGAATTATGAACAAGATTCTTGAAGTCTTTTCTAAAAACAAATATTACCACGAGATTTAGGATAGTCGAAAACCTATGCTCAATTCATTTCGGAGATTACCAGACATCAAGGTCGCCTGATAGGGGTGTCTGTGGAGAAGTTCTTCCGCGCCCGAATGGTGGTAGATGAGATCTCGGACTTGCGTGGAAACTATAGGTTGCTATGGAAATCCAGCAAACGCCAGCGTTGCCTACAGAAGATCCACCAGGTACACAACTTGCAGACAGGATTTTGGACCTGTTCGTTTAACAATAGATTTTCTCCAGTGTCGTCTATAAACGGGCGAAAACCGCACATCTTTATTGTTTATGTATCAAACATTATTCTGAAAAGAGTTTTCTGCATTATATTTTTTAACCGATAATAGTGACCGAGTATTCGCATATGTTGATGATATCTTTGTCTTACATCGTAATGAACTTCGTCCATCCGTATTTTTCAGCTACATGTTGAGCTTTTGAAAATTGCCAGGCGTACATACTTGACGCTCCAATACACCGAACCTTAATGAAAACAGCAAAATTATTTTTGAAAAATGGCTTTAAATTTATGGAAAGTAATTAACTAACCTTGCCTGATTTAACTAAATCATGAAGAGCTTCCATTGTTTCTTCAATCGGTGTTTCGTAATCCCAACGATGAATTTGATATAAATCAATGTAATCCATGTTCAAACGTTTTAAACTCGCGTCACAAGCATCGAATATATGTTTTC